GCCGTTCAGCCGTTCGGCCCTACCTCGCTTCTGTTTGCTCTGAAGCCTACACGTCTGTTACACTGGTGGAACAGCAGACGTTTTAGTGTCGCTTCGCTTTAACCAAGCTGTCCGCCTCCTTCCAGCGCTTACTGGATTGCAAAGTACTCCTTGTCTCTCGCTTGCAGCGAACCTTGCTTAGCTAATGTCATTTGTCAAGTTAATCAGAGAGAGTGGGCACTTCGATGGCTGCTGTATAGCCTGACCGCATTGCCATGGAGACAAGCAGCCAGACAGGCATTTTACTTGCCCTGCTTCGCTCTGATTTGGCATGAGAAACCAGTATTTTATTTGCCGTAAACCAACCAACTTGCTGAGGATGTGTCAAGGTTGCTGTCAAGAGATTGGGAAGGGTCTACCTAACCTTTTACGAAGCAAATAGTGATGCTGCTACTAAAGCAATTCCAGGGTCTGAATGTGCAGCTCCTCTTCCTGCATCCCACCAATGTTTGGCTCTGGTAGGAGCTGTGTGAGAGGAGTTACAGCCCAGTAGCTTGGATTCGGGGCTGCCATCGGGGTGTCATCAGTCCTCTTCAGCTGGATGGTCTTATAGGTGACTGTTTGCCTACAGGAGCCATGACCTTTGCAAAGCACCAATCTCCCTGGCAGTTGGTGGAATTTAGGAGCTGGCATGCCTCGATCGCGTTTGAAACTCAAAGGCAAGTGCTTTTGAAAGCCATACACTTTGGCTGACTTCTTGCATAAGGCAGGTTATAGAGTTTCACCCACCAGCCCCTGCACCAAGCCCATAACTCATAAGCAGTATCTGGGTATTGAAAGAGCCGGCAGAAGATGCTTATGCATGTTACAGAGCTCACAAGCTGTCGTGCCCCTCCCTCTCCCCCCTCTTGCATGTGCACATGTTAAATGACGCATTGAACAGGTTTGGAAACGCTCCCTCCTGCAGCCCTGGTGAGCAGGACAGCAGGGATCTGCAGGCACCTACGGGAGGGACAGCCACCTGCTGACCCCCAGCCCTCTCCACGGGACAGCGGAGGAAACCTCGCATCAGCACAGAAAGGGCAAAAGTTCGGATCAGATTGTTTATGGGATTTTATGGAGCTGGGAGCCAAGGATAGCTCAGCTAATCCAGAGGAAACTGTAGCGATGGCGTTAGAACGCATTTCACATGGGATTCATTCAGTGCGCATTCAGATGGACCAGTCTTTCTGTCTCCATTTTTTTAGCCATGAAATATTTTTCTTTGCACTCCCATCTGCCAGCCGCACCAAGCCAAACTCCAAGCTAGGCTGTTTTAAGAAAAAAAGAAAAAAAAAAAAAACCCACCTCTTGTCGTTTGACCTGCTGACAAATTAGCAGGGCTTCAGCATGGCTCCCAGTAACACCAGCACCAGGTGCTGGTCTGGCCCCTGGCCACTGCCAGCCAGCCTCCACTCCCACCCGCCTCAGCATCCCTTGCTTTTTTCCAAGCCATGGCGTAGCAGTTGCCGAGTCAAAGCCCTGGTGAGGACACTTGGCTAAAAGTGCCGCTAAAAGGCCTCGTGGGGAGGGCGGGAAGGCAGCAGCTTTGCTGTGCCCTCCTGCTCCTCAGCACCTGAAGCTTTGCTGGCTTCATGGGCTGTTCCAGCCCTGGCTCGTCCTCCTGAGTCTCCAACGTCCCGTGCAGTCTGAGCATGAGCCCCTTTTGGGAATATGGGTTTCCTTTTCGGTGCAGAGAGACCACCACATTAAGCTGTTTTCTGCAGATCTTGGCTTCCTCCTTGTGTCCTGAGCCACAGACCCCATTGCCCTGCGGGAAGAGGTGGCCTGGCTTAACTCCAGGCACAGGTGCCAGCTCCTTCGCTGTCCCCAGCCCATTCCCTCTGCCCCTGGCAGGCTCTCGTATGCTCTAGATTAGCCCAGCTGTGACTTGTCCCTTCTGGAAGCTGCTTTCGTCTCCCTGGGGACCGCATCCTGATGTTTAAAACAAATCTGCCTAGGAGTTAGCGTGGAGCAGCCCCACACTGTTCATCCCTTTCATGCTTGCAGGGCCGCTGCAGTGGGGTGCGTGTGGGGAGCAGCTGTATGACCCCCAGGTGATCCAGAGCTGGGAAGGACCCTCTGTCCTTGCAGGGTGTTTTGGCATCAGCCTACGGGACATTGCAGCCTTCCCAGGGCACTTTGGTTTGTTAACCTGAGCTGATACAAACCGACCCATTGGGTCCTGGGGCTTCTCTTCCCCCCAGATACAGGGCAGGGTCCAACCTCATCTGTGTTATCTGCTCCTTGGAAGTGCAAACCACAGCCGCATCTCCCAAAGCCTGCCCCTGCCTTGGAGCGAGCGAGCAAGACGAGTAGCTTTTCCATTCTGAATATCTGCGGTCACATCTGCACATCCTGCCGTGGGTGCAAAGCTCCTGGGTGCTTCCCACTAAGATTTTCCTGCCCATGCGGTCAATCCAACCATGTGCTGGGTACCTGTTCTTGATGGGGGCTGTCTTTGATGCTGTCTGGGGGCTGGTGTTCCACGTGTGGACATGTTGAAGGGAGAGAGGATGGGATTTTGCAGAGCAAAGCAGGAAGCATATGCTGTTAGTTTTCCTTTGGGTGTAAAAGCATCCCTGGCAGGAGGGTGCTTAGGTATTAGCTTCAATTCATTACTACCTACAACATCAAAACAAGGATGTCTTCAGGAAAATGTAAAAGCCCAAGCCCCAAAATGGTAAAACTTAATAATCGGGTGGAAATTGCATCCAGCCCAAAGTATCACCAGTAGTAAGAGGTAAAGGCTTCACAATCTAGTGCTCAGTGGGAGCAAGAATGGCAGGGGCTGCTTGAGCACTCGCTTACAGTGTTCATCTCTAGGACATGAGATAAGCATGTTGTCCCTGTGACAAAGAGAAGGTGATGTTCATGGCTGTTTATTGCTTTGTCTTTAAAAATGTGTTTGCACCTCACCCCATAGAGGCCACATTTCCAGGGAGGCATAGGGACTCCATGGCCAACCTTTGCCCACGTGTGCCTCTGTGTAGCTGGAGCTAGCGCTGGAAATGTCTCCTTTTTTCGTTGCATCAAAGCGCAGGGGAAGGAGAGGCGCTGCCTTTCGCAGCCTGCACTGTTTGCCATGCCTTGCTGCGAGCCGGCTTGGGCAGAAAGGGCTTCCCAGGTACGAGCATGGGCTGGCACAGCCTCACCCGTGTCCTCAGGTCGCAGTTGCCCACACGCCGTCTGCAAGCGCCGCGGCAGCTGGGTGAGAGCTGATGGGTCCACCCCCACCCAGGAGATGGGGATGGCGGTGCCATAACCCGCTGGGTGCTACTTGCTGCCTTGTCTCCCACCCCTGGGTGCTGCGCAGCCGGGGTGCCCAGCACCCTTGGACCATGCTGTCCCGCAGCCCCCCAGTGCCGGTGGCCATAGAGGGACTGATGTTGCCATCTGCTGGCTTAGCTGCACAGGAGCAGCAAGAGCTTGGCTTAACCCTCTTGGAAGTCGCCCCTCGCAAGTCTGTACTGACCCTGCTCCCACGCCGGGCTGCAGGCGCGTTGCCCAGCCGCTGACCCAGCCCTTGGCCCTCTGGTAGCATCTGCCCATCTGCAGGTGTTTTAGGGGACAGGATGGGTGGCCCGTTCCCACTTAGGCTGGGCTGCTCCCCACCCCTTCCCGCACTGCCCTGCAGGAGGGTGTCCCTCCTGCCCTCCCTGCGGGGTCTGATGTATTGGCTTCTGGCACAAAAAGCTCTAGGAGGACCCGCAAGGCTCTTATTAAGGGAGGTCCTTCCCATTAAAGACGAACATTTCCACTGCTGATTATCACCATCAGGTTCTTATTCCTCCTCTGGGCTTGTCTTTATTTCCTTTCTCTTTCAAGTTCTTGGCAAGTACTCCCAGGCTGGGAACGTATCACTGCTCTAGCAAGTACCCCAGGAGCACAGCACCCTGCACGTCCCACCTAACCAGTCCCCCCAGTGACAGCCAGGGCCAGGAGCTGCAGGACCACCGGCTCCAGCCCTGATCCCCCAACCAGCCCTGCAAAACTGCTGCTTTGCCTGCAGGAGCGATGGGGCTAAGCCGGTGTAGTCAGTGACAGCTTGCTCGGGCATTGCTCGGAGGATGAGGTTACTTCTGTAAATCTATTATCTTTTTTTTGGCAATTAGCACCAGTGAGGAGCCCTGGGAATACATGTAGCAAATAGCAGGAAGCCCAGTTAAGCACATCTCTCTGCTTATCTAAGCCCAGCTAAACAAGTCTCCTGTGGCACAGCCCTACAGCTGGTAGCACAACCCATAAATGCTCCAAAGGTGATCTCTAGCGCTGGATTTGCTTCTCTTTGCAGTGTGTAACCCTGGAGATTTCCATTCATTGTGTGTGCTTTCAGAGGTGGAAGGTGGGGAGCTCACCCCAGCCTGGGATACCCCCAGCAGTCTGCAGGTTGCATGGAGGAGCCCCCAGAGTCCTTGTGTCGCCTGGATGCCGGAGGCAGCCCCGCAGCGAGCTGTGCTGATGTCTTTCCCTGCCTGGGGGCCGTGCTGCGTCTTGCTCTGGGTGGAAGCCTGGCGTGAGGCAGGGCTCGGCGGCTGGGCTTGACCACACATGTCGAGCTCGGGGTGGGGGAGCGAGCGAGACACTGTTTTCTCTGGCCCGGGAAGACAGCGATGTGTGTTTGTTTTCTGTGCTATCTCTCGCACAGCGTTTGTTTTGCTTGTTGAGCGTTTCAGGAGATAAAATGACCTAAAGGGAGATTATTTTATCCTAATTTAAGATATCAATTTATTACTGACTTCTGCTTGTCTATGCCAGCAGGACGGCTTGCTCTGAGTCCCTGGGGAAACCTCAGCTAGAAAGTGAGAATTTGGGGGGGGATTTACTGCAGTCTCACATCTAATCTGTGCTTATAACAGCAACTACAAGCTGCTCCCCCATCCTCCTGTGTCATATTAGTTCCCATCGCTATGGACTGGCTTGGCTTCCTAGGGGACGCCCCTCTCTAACTGAGGCCCGGGGTTGTTTTTCTTGTGCTGCAGGCTGGTGGAAGAGTTCATGCTGCTTGCGAACATGGCCGTGGCCCATCAGATCTACCGCTCCTTTCCCGAGCAGGCCCTCCTTCGCCGCCACCCCCCGCCCCAAACCAAGCTGCTGAAAGACCTCATGGAGTTTTGCAACCAAGTCGGCCTCGACATCGACTTCAGCAGCGCGGGGACCCTGCACGTGAGTGCACTGGCCTGGCGGGGAGCGAGGCAATGGGAGGGGAGGGTGGGCAGCTGTGTGATGGCGTGTTTGTGGCAGCATGTGGTTTATTCCCTGTCCCCTTCTGCCCAAGCTGAGCTGACAACTATCCCATGCCAAAACAAAACACCTCCCTCTCTCGCTCTTGACCACACCAGCACTGGGTAAGGGTGGCCCGGTCAGCCATGTTGTGCACAAAGCTTAGAGCAGGCCAGGGAGGACCTTGCAAGTGACCCCAGCACTGCCCTCTTTGCAATGGGAAGGATGTTTCAATGCAGGAGCGCTCACTGGGACACCCAACTTTCCTTTCTCTGCCATCTCTGGGCAAGGCATTTGCTCTGTACCACAGGAAAAGTAGCTCTGCAAGGAGGTGTTTCTGTTTGGGCTGCTGAAGGTCTCAGGGAGGGCAGGGTGGGGAGTGGGGTAACTGGGAAGGACTGGAGAGCAGTGCTGGGAAAGGTCAGACACAGCCAGTGCGGGAGGTATCCGACCGATCCTCTGCTGAGCGTGTCCTGAGGCTGAACTCCAGCTGAACAGCACAGCACAGGTTCCAGGATTTTCTTTACTTGCCGCAACTGGACTGTGGATAATCCTCTGTTAATCCCATCCCTGCTGGCCTCCCGCGTGCCCCTCCATCAGCCGGGACTGCTTTCTCCCCTTGCTGGCTGCAGCGAGGCTATGTCAGCAGACATGGGGCTGCACACTCAGCTCCTCTCCTGCACTTTGAACCCTCCAGCCCTCCCTCACCACCAGCGCCCGGCAGTGACCTACCGGATCCATGTCGCCCCAGAGTCCCATTAGTCCGTGCACTGAAGTTCTCAGTAGCTGGATGGGACCCAGGCGTGGGTCAGGAGAGGGGTTACGAGCGCTCTCGAATGCTGCACATCTGGGGATGGAGCCAGCTGTCCCCATGCCCCAAGTGCTCCCTGCCATTGACCCCAGGAGGTGGATCAGTGCTCAGAAGGACTGTGTGTGCATTCCTGTCGGGGCTGCTGGGACCAGAGCAAAGCCCAGTTTCACGTGCACGTTTTGGTTTATGAGGGGATTTGCAGGGAAAGGAGGAATTTGGCTTTGACGAGCTGCTCTTTGCCCCGGTAAGGTCTGTCTGGGTCTCCCTACCACCATAGCCTGCCAACACTGAATGCTCTCTCTCTTTTCTCCCCTAGAAAAGTTTAAATGAAACATTTGGTGCTGACAAGTACTCCGAAGCCAGGAAAGAAGTGCTGACCAACATGTTCTCCAGGCCCATGCAGGTGAGAACAGCACTGTGGTGTTGGGCACGTGTGGCTGTAGCTGTCTACTGTGGCCCCATGTTCAGCCCTCACCCCTTCTGCTTTACTGTAGCTGGTTGGTATGTAGAGGGAGAGTGAATGGACACTGAACATGGTGCTGTGGGGCTGCCAGCAGCTTCCCCCAGTGCCTCCAGCCCCATGCAGCTGGCAGTGGGGGTATTCCCTGGGCAACAGAGCTTCACTGGATGGCAAGGTCAGGCTGACTCTTTCCTCACCCTCCATGGTGTCCCTGTCACTGCTGGTTGGGATGTTTCACCCCTGAAGTTGCATGCGGGTTGTTAGCAGGCTCACAAGGACCCAGCCTGCTCTGTGAAGAGCTGGTGGTGAGTTCCATGGTTTGTGTTTGTGACATTTCTTCACATCATGGTATCCCAACTGGTCCAAAGAAGGAATCGAGAGCGAGGATGATGTAGGGATGTGGGACTGGCCATAAGCACAGTCTCATACCCAGACACATGCTCATAGAAGCAGGGAAGGTCTGGAAACCTTTTGGTCTCCCTCCACACCAAGAGACCTCTCTGCGATGGAGGCTTGTGCTGCTCACATTGATTGTCGTGTTTGGTGCGTCTGCAGGTCAGGACACATGTTTGAGCGCTTATGACCATCAGAAAAAGTTTTCATGAAGCTTCTGCCTTTCTACATTTGCAGCTGGGCATAGCACAGCCTCTCCTGAGGGAAGTCCTACCCCGCAGGCTGAAGGGACATGTTCCTGAAATGGTCTTTCTGCTGTGGCCTGCTTATCACTGCAGGAATGAATCATCTTCCCAATATCACTCATTTGACTGTCACTCTTCTAATTAGCTTATTTGCTCTGTTTACTCATTAGCAGTTGCCCAAAGTCCTGCTGTACTTCAGTGACTTAGTGCTTGTTTGCAGGTGGGGCTGGGGACTGAAGCCGTTTAGTAAATCACCCCGTCTTGTATATGTCCGGCTCAGGAGTGCTGCTTTATAAAGTGCAGAGGGTGTCCTCTGGAGATGGCTGTGTGGTCCCAGATCTCACGGCCTGCTTTGGCTTGTCCTGGTCCCTTCTGTCACATCTTCCTTTTCTGGTGGAAGAAGCACTGGTGACATGAATTCCTTGGGGTCCCTCTGCTGACTGTGGCACAAGCCTGGGCTGCCTGGCTTGTGGAGAAAGCCCAGCTGCTGACCAGGATGGATGAGGATGAGAAGGCAACTCGGTTCTGCAGTGGTATCAAGGAGGAGCTGAGCTTTTTGGGACACACTGACTTGCTGAGATTTGCCTCTGTGGTCTCCTGAGACTGTGGTCTGGGAGGTGATGGGTGTGCTGTGAGATACCTCCCAGTGGTTCTTGTTAAGATTAGCCCTGTGAATACATGGTTGATCTGTACGAAAAAGAGGTATCCAGGTTTTGGGGATCAAGTCTTCTGCAGGGTACATACCAGACAGAAAATTCAGGGAAGAAGAAAGGAACTTTTAAAGGAGATATTCCGTGAGACATGATTTTGGGAGGAACTAGACTGATTTCATTGTCATAAGACCAAGGTGTCCATGTGTTCAGGTACACAGTGTAGTCCACTTGCACCTGGCAAACCTGCTGTCTGGCACACTCCCATCACAGGCAAAACCCGGTTTACAGCTGAGCCCATCAGCCCTGCAGGCCTGCCTGTGTCTGGTTGGAGAGCAGCGTTCCCATCTGCCGGCGTTCCCCAGCAGGACGGTACCGCCGTGCGTGAGGGGGTGCTCTCGTTATTGGGAGTGGTGCATGAGCCAGAAGAAGCAGAAATCTGTCTTGATCCTGGGATGAGCTTATGCAGTTAGCCGTTTGCTGAACTGTTGTTTAGTTTGTCAGTGGAATTTCAGACTTGCCCAAAGCCATCGGCCAGGTGAGCAGATATTCCCCTCCTGTCTTTAGGGCCACTTTCCAATCTTACCCAGGATGTGCTCACAGTGGTGGATCCCTGTGATCTCCAGTCCATAAGGAAGGACCACAGTGCTGCTGGGGCAAGAGATCTCAGTGTTGCTCTCTGTGGTCTCTGGTCGGAGGACCACACTCACTGTGGGGTGGGCTAACAGCTTCCCAAAATCCTGAGCAGTTCAGATTATTCCCACCATTGTTCCTACTGCTAAATGCAGAGGATGAGTAGTTTGAAGCCATGTCAGTGCCCCTCAGAAAGGGCAGACAGCTACCGGGTGGAAGGAGCTTTCCCTGCGAGGAGCATTTTTTGCTGTCTGCCACCAGCGTTAGAGCAGATGGAGGCATCGGCCCCGTCCTGCCCGTATCCCCCAGTGCTGCAGTCCCTCGTGGGAGGGAGAGGACAGACTTGAGCGTTGGCAGCCGTGGAGCCCAGCCACACAGGGGCCCATGCTGGTGTCGAGGGCTGGGCCATTGCTCTGACAGATGGCAAGGCGAGACCATCTGGTCAGGGCACTGAGGAGTCACCCGTACCCCTGCACACATCTCAGCTCCCTGTGATAAAGCTGGGGTTTCAGGGACAAGGCTGCAGTTAAATCAGACAAAACAAGCTGCCTGTGGGTTTAACCGATGGTCATGTCAAGCCTGCATCTTCCATCTTCACTGCACTCTGGTGGTCAAGACATCAGCCTCTTGGAGGAGGAGGGAGATGGGAAGCAACTGGTAATGCGTGTGTCTGGAGGAGCGCCTGGATTGCCATGCCAGGAGCCTTGTAACAGATGAAGGAGCAGCGACATACCATTTTTCAGGGGCTCAGTCACTCGGGGATTCAATCTGTCCATGAGAGCAAAGCTGCCCCTGGTTGGCTGGGGCTGATTTATTTCCAGGCTCCTTGCAGTTCTCCAGGGATTGCGGCAAACCCTGCGGATTTGAGACCACTTGTAAGTCAAATCTGTTAATGAGAAAACATCTGCTTTATGCCAGGCTGATGTCCCTGGCTAGCACAGTCATGGTGGCAAGGACGGATATCAGATACGTGTCAGACTGGGCTCCCTGCAGTGTGTAACCTCACCACAGCCCAGAGGAGTATTTTTGCTATGATACCCAAGCTGGTGCCAACCTCAGTGAGGGTCATGAGCTGCCAAAAGGGTGTCAAAAATGGTGCTGGACACAGCAGCAGCTGGGTTTGGCCAGCACATCCATCAGGAAGAAGTGCCCTAGACAACAGCAAGCAGTGCAGGACCTTCAGCATCTTTTCTAACTCGAAACAAGGCAGGGCTTGCCCTGCACTGCTGGAGTGGATGAGCCCTTCCCTGTGGCTTTCTCGTAGCAGGGATTTTGACCTGTGCTCTGCTCTCTCCCTACCTGGCTTTGCAGGAACCTTCGTCCCTTCTGCCCGGGAGCCTGGCATAAGTGCCTGTAAACCCCCTATAATTTCATGCTGTCTGTCTGCACAAGGCCACTCATCTTCTCCTGCAGCAGCCTCCAGCGCTCAGCGTGTCTCCCTGCCCGACCACGCAGAGCCTGGTTCGGTGGGAGGCGAGCTAATTGAGTGGAGACCGTACTTTGTGGAGTCCATCAGAAACAATTTAATTCTGGGTTGTGGAAATTGGCAGCCGCCACAGCTCCTATCCCAGCTCTTGGGTCTCATAATAAGGCCGGGACTGATGCTGCTTTTTTTAACCTGCTCTGTTTACTTGCCCGGATCAGTGCATTGCTGCTCAGCAGGAGCTGGCTGTGCCGCTGCGCTGGAGAGCGGAGGATGCAGCTGCCCAAACCGTGGATCCCAGGACGGCTCTGTAATCAGAGCTGGCTACTCCTGTTTTTTTTAAATCACTTGCTCTTATTTTTAAATGGGTTCATTCAATCGCCACTGTGCCATGACCCTGCCGCAACCCCCCTGACCCGCACAGCTTCCCCTCCCCGCCTGGGCTCGGCCCCTGTTGTTTTTCCAGCCCTGAGGGCTGGTGTTTCACAGATGTAAAAATAAAAGCTGTAACATGTGGGATGACAGGGGCGGCCGCAGCCAGGAGGCGTTCCCACTGAGGAGGCTGCTGGGCAGCACGGTGCAGCCACGGCCCCAGGGTTGGTTTAGATGGTCAGTCCAACCGCTCGGGTTCCCATCTGTCATCGTGGGATGGAGCAGCGGGGATCGCAGCAGGGCTGTCTCCTCCTCCTCAGTGAACGGAGGAGCCAGTCGTCCCAGCCCCCAGTGCTCTCCAGGCAGTCGCAGTGGATGTGCAGAGCCTGCAGCCGGACCCAGAACCAAAGAGCCTGGCACAGGAGCTGCTCTACGAGGCCCCTTGTTAGGAGAGCGCCTGCGGTGGGCATGGGACAGGCTGGGCTCTCTCCTGGAAGACGGGAGGATAGCAAATGAGCCCCAGAGCCTGAGCAGAAGCAGGAGACTGCTTAAACCCGTGCGTGATGTGAAAGTTGATGCAATCCCTAGGGCCCAGCAGGGCCAGCTGGCAGCCAGCAGCTCCCTGCAGTGGCTTTGCCCCCTGTGCTCAGTTCCTGCAGCGCCCGCCTTGTCTCTGCGCAGCCTGAACGGAGCAGCAGGTGAAGGACCATCGGCTGCTGGAGCTCTTGTCTCACAGACTCCTCCAGCCTCCTGCAGGGTCCTGCCACCGTCCTTGCTCACACCCTTCCCTCCTTTCTCGCCCCTTTCAGATGGCTCTCTACTTCTGCACTGGAGTCCTGGAGGACGAGACCCTCTTTCGCCACTACGCCCTGAACGTGCCCTTCTACACGCACTTCACCTCGCCCATCCGCCGCTACGCGGACATCATCGTGCACCGTCTCCTCTCCGCCTCGCTCGGTGGGTGCTGCCCCGCCGCTGGAGGAGCAGCTCTGGGGGCTGCGAGGGGAGGGGGCGGCTGTGCTCAGCACAGGCAGGACTCCAGCGTTCCTGCCCTGCCTGCCGTGGGGGCTTGGAGTCTGCAGCCCACGTGGGGCAGCTCCCTGGCACGTGAGTGCCCTCAAAGAACAGGGGCATCTGAGTCCAGAGTGCCATGGCATGGCACTGGAGCAGGAGGGAGCATGGGCATCTCATTGTCACTTGTCCCCTTCCCAGGTGCCAGCTCGCCCATCAAGATGGAGAAGGAGGCCATCCAGAGACAGGCAGATCACTGCAACGACCGGAAGATGGCTTCCAAGAGGGTGCAGGAGCTCAGCGCTGACCTCTTCTTCGCCATCTTTGTCAGGGTAAGAGCCAAGACTGTCTTCCCCCCAAGGCGTCTGTGGATTTCCCCATGAAGGCTCAGCCTAGATGCCACCAGGCAGAGGGCTGTGGGCTGCCCAGCTGGCCTTGGGGAAGGCAAGTGGTGAGGGAACACACTGAGCAACCACCACAGCAAGAGCTCCAAGACCTGGAGGCACTGGCTCCCCCTGGGGATGGCTGGATGGGGGATGCCGGTGTAGTGACAGCCCTGTCTCTTTGCAGGAGTGTGGTCCTCTGGAGTCAGAGGCCATGGTGATGGGTGTCCTGAACGAGGCCTTTGATGTCCTGGTGCTGAAGTTTGGAGTCCAGAAGCGCATCTACTGCAATGTAAGTACCTCACTAGTGTGAGATAGTGCCCACGCTGTCTCACCGGAGAGGGCTGCGGTAGCCTGGCGTCATCGGAGGCAGTGGCTGTCCTGGTGCCCTTCTGTGCCAGCCCTGCAGCCGACAGAGCTGCCCCCGAGCCAGGCTAGCCAGAGGCGGGGAGCCTTCATGGGGTTTCCCTTCCATCCCCCTTGGGGGGGCGGGGTGGGTCTGGAGCAGCCCAGTCTCTGAGGTCCAGCTTCTCCTTGCTATGTGCTGGGAGTGATCTAGTAAAAGGGAAAATAGGTGAAAGGGAGTAAAGGCAGGTTCAGGGGGACAGAGATCAACAAGGAACTGAAGCGAGGAAAGGGAGCGAAGCTGGTTTTCATTTCATTTAACCAGACGGTATATCTGGGGCTGTGACAGCACCACTGTAGGCCAGCACCTGCGGTTAGTGGCAGCATCTTCTCTTAATAACCTGGTTATATGGCTGGCAATGACATCTTTAAACGGGACATATAGTGTGATGTATGGGCTGTTTGTGTATCACAGCAGCCCCTGATTTACGTGCTAGGTTCAGGCTCACAGGCTGCTGCATCCCGGCTGTTAAAGAGCTGCTGAGGCAGCGTGCTGGGCAAAAGCAGCGTCATCCCCATCTGCAGGCAAAGTGGAGTGGGAGAGCTGAGAGGGGGGATGTTGTCAGGGCCACAGGCTGTTCCCAATGTTCTCCCTGCCTGCAGGCGCTGCCCTTGCTGGGCTTCCACTTCCAGAAGGTGGGAAGGAAGCCAGAGCTCACGCTCATGTGGGAGCCAGAGAAGCTGGAGCAGGAATCTGTGCCCCAGGTAAGACCCCATAGTGAGGGATGGGCTCACAACACCATGGGGCTGGTGTGAAGGCTTGTGTGCAACATGTGGATCCCGTGATCTCTGCAGGGACAGGTCCGGGAGGCAGGACTGCCTGGCAGGCTGTCAGGTCCTGCTGTCCCTCTGTATCCCCTCCCCAGCAAGCCTGACCTCAGCCTCAGCCTCCTCTGCTATCCAGCTCCGCTCCATCCCATCGCTGCCCCCGCATCTGACCCCTCCGTGGCCTTCAGACTCTGCCCTGCCTGCTGTGTGCCCTGTGTCCCAATTTAGTTTCCTCCAGGAATTGAATTAACATGCTGTTTACTTCCTTCTTCCAGATCATCAATTAAGATGTTAAGTAAGATCAGGCCTAAGGCAGTGCCTGTCTAGACCCTTTCCCCGATCCTGGCGTTCCTTGCCCCCTCAATGGCACGACCCTTCCTTTAGGTTTCTGTCCCTGTGACAGGGTTGAGACCCAATTAGGAGGAATTTTTTATGTCAGACTTCCTGAGATGCAGCGTCAAATGGTTTAACAGCATCTAGAAATCTCTTTCTTGTGTCCCTGTCATCTATTAACTTGGTAACTCAATCAAAGGGAGCGATTGCGTTTGTCTGGCTTGATTAAGTGGTGCTTCTTTGCCAACTTTTGTCTGGCGTCGCTGTAAAATCACAGCTGTGTTGACTGCTGTGATCCCTGCCTGCTGCCCGGGTGGGGAGGGGAGGGCTGAATCCCAGCCTCTCCCTGCCCTGCTCCAGGGGCTCTGCGCTTGAACCCCATTTCCAACCAAGCCCAGCACAATCCATCCTTGTCCACCTAGGGCTGGATGATAAGGACCCCTGATACAAGGCCGGGCTGACCCTCCCAGCTGGTATGATGCATGTCCTGGGGCGTCCTTTCCTTCCCAGGAGAGAGGTTGCAGTCAGAGCTGGCCGAGCTCCTGGCTGCTTGCAGGCATTTCTGCAGGCCCCCCTGCCTTTGAAGCTGAGCTTTCCTTTCTCAGCTTGGCTCAGAGAAGCCCCCTGGATGTGGCCCGAAGTGGGTTTGGTTCCTCCTTTCCTACAGAAGCGGGTATCACTTACACCCTAGCAGGGACCCTCATGAAAAACGACGCCCCAGCATGAGCAGGGCCCATTTTGGCTAAGCAAACACTTGGCAGTAGAGGAAACTCCTCCACGAACCCTCCACACCTTCAAAGAAAACACTGGAGCTCTCCCCTGGGAGCAGGCTTTGAGCTGTCCTCCAAGCCAGCAGATCCCCAAGTTGATAAATCTCCAGCCCCAGGGTGACCCAGATACCCAGGAGCCGTGATGAACCACAGGAGATGTCACCCGAGCACCCCCAGCTCCCTGCCCGGCTCTTACTTCTGCTTCTGCTTCCCGATTTGGCTCAGCCTGGCCAGGCAG